ATGGACCTGAAGATAGCACACAGGCTAGGACTAAATCTGATGATTAGAGTTTATAACATTGGAACATTTCTAAGATCACTTATTTAATGACTTACTAAAATTATCATGTATAAAACTTTGATAAGACATGTTGTTATTAACTGATGTGAAACATGGACGTTTAACAGTCTCAGGTTAATAAAGTTGTATGATTAATCACGGCAGTAATTTAAAGCGACAAGTTTTTGTTGTTTGACATAAACAATGATTTATCTGCAGATAAATTCGTAGCCTTGTACATATCCAATATAACCTTTGTTATAATATATTACAAAGTGAGGATTAAAATCATCAATATTACATACAGTTATTAGTATATAAATGACTTAAATGCCAACATACTTTCTTGTTATTCAGCTTTTCCCAAACCGTTAAAGAAACCGCAGTATGCATCTCTGTGTAATTTTGCTTCAGCAGTCAAATTACTGAGATTTTCATGAAAAAGCGGAATCAGCTCCGCAAAATTGTCGCGTCTCTATCCACCTTCGCCAATGGTCCAAGTTTTGGCTTGATTCTGTCAAAAGTCGTTTTAGTCGAGTATGTGGAGTTAGCAGAAACAAGAAAATTGTGTAATGTACAAACAGTCTATACATACTACAATATAATTAATAGATTCGACGGTGATGATTGCTATTGGGGAATGAAAAATTCTATAAGTACTTGTAAAATGCCCAAACGCATTTTCTACAACATTGTTTGCATGAAATATACGAAAGTGGAATATTTGTTTTTCATGTTTTAGTTGTTTATCAATGCATATGCTTCATCCCCAATTAAGACGAAATATTAATTCAAGTCATTGTCTTCTTTTGCAGTTAAATTTAATTTATTAGATTTTAAATCCTTAAAAAAAAACAGTCTACACCAAAATTTTTCCTTGTTTGACAACATTGAACTACATTTATTTATAATTAGCACTAACTAGTAATCAATAGTAGGTAACGGACCAAAAAACCGCATTAAGATGCCCTTATATTCGGATATAATCATTTTTCAGTCTGAAGTTCTTGCCATAAATTTCTGTTTTGGTTTGAACCTTCAGAAAAGACAGAAAGGGACGTCAATAAACATCTTCAGACATTGTGGGTAATGAAAAGGTGGACAAGCTGGCCAAAGACCCAACGAGTACATCCTTTATTCCAGGAAAAGAAACCCAAGGATGTTTTATACCTCAGCAAAGGGGACTTAGGGTCGCTCTAAGGTTTTCTGACCAGCCTCACGCCCCTAAATTACCATCGCTTCAACATTGAACATTGCTGAAAATCAAACTTGTCGGCTTTACAACAACATGTCAGAGACCACTGAACATATTCTGCGCGACTGCGTCGCCAGAGGTCCCTTAACACACAACATTTTTGCATAGGTTTGCCTGACACCTACTGACATAAAGAACAATATTTTCGTTACTAATACTAATGTTCATCAAGGACCGAGGTCTGCCTTAAATCTTTGCAGGGAGGAAGTTACAGTAGATCTTAATACTAATTATAGGTCGCGGTGACGAGAGGGACCTGGCAGCAACAAAAAAAAGTAAAGCGATATGTACACCACTATAAAACCCTTTGTAATTGTTGTAACAGCTTTAGTTATGTAAATTTTTTTTTTCGGATTTTTCATTCACCATTGAAAATGTGTATGTAGCATAAAAACGTAGGTAAAATAACCAATAGTTAATGTGAAGTTTAATAATAGAAAGATAACAAAATTGTAATGTTTCATATGTATATTGTCTAATTAATTTGTAATCAAAATTAATTGCTGCGATAATTTCTTATTCTTCTTCTTAGGGCCGATTTACATCAGACGAGCGAATGCTCATTCTATCCCCACTCTATCATATTGTTTTAGTGTAAACAGATGTAGAGCATTCTTTCGTTGTTCTGTCTGTGTTCTCAAAGATTCTATGGAATATTCTAGGAGTGTTTAATCGCTTGATGTAAACGGCACTAGAGCGTGCGAACAATTGCTTAGAACCTTCTTACGTGTTCGGACGTGCTCGCTCATCGGAGCGGTCTCTTCAAAACGTTCTTGTGTTCTAGCCGAATGAGCATTCGTTCGGCTGATCCAAACATCTATGTGCAAGAATTCTGATTCTTGATTCTCATTTTGATATTTTGTTGATATTTTGGTGTAAACGCTAAAAACGCGATTTCGTTTACACTAAAAGATCAAGAAAGAATGCTCTTGTTCTAGCTCTAGCTCTTTGTTCGTTTGGTTTAAATGCACCTTAAACGCAGTGGCGTTACATCCCAGACTGTGCCTTTAAGCTAAGTTTCCACATGCACGGATTACTGGCGCCAGTACGAAGCCAGTTTAGTGGCGCCAGAAGTTGTTTCCGCACAAATGTTATAATTGTGTACTGGTACAGTAATAAAAATGACGTCAAGTGATGTACTTCGCGTTGGCATCAATATGGTAGTCCAAATATGCTCCTTGGAACTGCACACGTTATTACCAAAAAAAGCGAAAGCATAGTTTCTGGGTTAGATCGTGGATTGCACGTAGAAATAACCTAGGTGCGTCTAGTACTTTAATTAGAGAATTATGCCATGAAGATCAGCAAGCATTTTTTAATCATTTAAGAATGACTGAAGAGAGTTTCATGTTTTTGTTGAGGCAAGTATTCTCTAGAATACAAAAACATCATATGCATATGAGAGATGCCATTCCAACTCACGTAAAAGTGCAACCAACTTTAAGATTTTTGGCTTCTGGAGATTTTTCGACATCCTTAGAATTTATGTATCGTTTGCCAAAAAGCACAATTTCTAAATTTATATGTGAAGTGCTTTATGGTGAAGTACTTTATGGTATTCAATTGTATATACTTCGTATTTTTGCTTTTGCCGAGGTTTCGTCAAAATTAGGAACTGTTTTCTTCATAATTTCAACTATCCTTGTGACAGTTTCATTTTATGCAACTCGGTCCTTATATTGTGGAATTTTCTGATTCCATAAGCAAGGATATTGTTCATACGTTTCCAGAAATAACAATTTTTTGAAAAAACAGATCCAATTTCACATCAGTTAATAACAACATGTCTTATCAAAGTTTTATACATGATAATTTTAGTAAGTCATTAAATAAGTGATCTTAGAAATGTTCCAATGTTATAAACTCTAATCATCAGATTTAGTCCTAGCCTGTGTGCTATCTTCAGGTCCATCACTTTGGTCTTATTTATATGTAATGTTACATTTTGTTAAGAGAGTATTTTGGAAATTAAATAATACAAAAATTTTTATTTTTATCATTTTAATATAATAAAAAACGTTCAAAACATAGTCTTAATTTATGAATAAAGGAATACTAAGGTAATCTTCTTATCGAGCATCAAAAACGATTACTATACACAAACATTAAGGAATCTAATCAATTACTTTTTTCCAAATTAATAATTTTAAACATTTAAAGGATACATCTCTTTGTTCTCTTCTTATACATGATACGATAACCACATTCTCTGCAACGTATAGGATCCCTCGGTCTCATTTCATTATCATTATGACACTCTTATTATCCAAAACAAAGCGATTTTAGTAATTTTGAAATCAAAAATAGATTATATTTCGAATTAATTTGTAAACATAACCTAAAAAAAAATGTACTGACCTCCACAAATGTAAACCATAGGTACTTTTGTCGCAGAATCTTTACTGGATGATGGCTCAGACATTTTTAACGTTTAAATGTTAATAAATTTAATGTTAATTATTAAATCTTTTTATAACTATCAACGAATTCTAACCTCAATATCACGTTTTACGTCGCCTGTCAATTTATTGGATTGTAACTAACTTCGCGATTAAAAAACCAAAAAAATTAACGAGTTTAACTATTAAAAATAAAATATATTTTAGTTTAAATTAATTACTTATTTGATCAATTTATTAGAAATTATGAATTTATTAATATATATTTTTAGTAATGTTTTGATTCATGAAGTGATGTCAATCGAACACCACTACTCTCATTTATCATTCTTTGTGTACTTCATAGGCAATTTATTTAAATAAAATGATGAATTTAAAAAGAAATCATATCGAAATACGTAAGTAGGGTAATCTAAAAGTTATAGATAAAAATTTATTTGATTTACAAATATAAACAAACCGTCGATCACAACAAATCGTGTTTACAAATGGCGTTTTCACAATATTTCAAACTCGAACCAAATAATTTAATAAAAAGTTTGTCACGTTAAATGTCATGGGTAATAATTTGTGTTGTTGTTTTAGGAAGAGATCAAAAAAGTATAAGTTTATTATAATACCACTTTCATCCTACTTTAAATAATTCATTTGGTGCTTTTCTTATAGGAATATCTGTGTGCTCCTTCTCGGTTTGGACAACGCTGGTAAAACGGTAGCAGTAAGATCGTTGGCCAATGAACCAATTGATGAAGTTGTACCCACTGTTGGATTTTCAATAGTTAATTTAAATTATAATGGTTATAATGTGAAGATGTATGATTTGGGTGGAGGTGTTACGATTAGAGGAATATGGCATCGATATTTTATAGATGTAATATTTTTACTTTTAAATCTTAAAATTGATTATTCCTGGTATAATTCAAGAATTATCATGTTGCTTAAAAATCGACAATTTTTTAATCGATGGGAAATCACTCAAGTAAGCTGTTACAAATAAAAAAAAAGGTGTGGAAACGTATAAAACTTACTGAAAAATCACTTTAAAGTTTCAATATGACCTGATATTTTCTAGTTCTAAGCCTAATGTTAGTTCTAATTTTATACTAACACTCAATAGAATTAACACAGGACCCAGAACTAGAATCATTTGGGTTTAGCCGTCTTGAAAGATGTGCAGGTAAAT